GAAAGAGAGGTTGTAGGTACTTCAAATAACTCAACATGAAGGAGTGAGCCGGCTTCCTATGATCTGAATCAGTAAAGAAACAGATAGGAAAAACAACTAAGGTTTACCTCCCACTGTCCTCCTTGACTCCTGTTTCTAGAGAACACAAAAGTATCCTGCTTCTTCAATTGTCCATTAGTCCATTAGTGCTCATAGCGCCATGCCATGCCATGCCATGGTGTTTAGTCCTTGCTTCTCTGATTCTAAACAAGCTCAGGTTCAAGAAAAAGGAATAAAGAACAAACAAGAAGGAGAAAGATTACCTCTTACTTCATACCTGAGTCCTCTGATAGCAAACATTACTGATTTTTAACCAGGACTCTACTTTTTAGAATGCAGAAATGGTTCACATATGCCAGATGCATGACAGGAAAGCACTCCACCAACTGAGTTACACCCACAGACCCCAAGTTCTCTCTTGTGAGAAAAATTCTCACCATGTGACACTGCTGAGCCTGAACTCATGACAATCACCCTATGAAAGCCTCCCATCAGCTGAGATTACAGATGTACTCTAACATCTGGATGGCAGGGAGCATTATCCCTGCATCTCTCCATCTTATTAGACTCCTAACTGCTGCCAGGAAAATCATCTCGGTGCCTGTTTCACAGCTGCCCCGCATTTCAGCATCTCTCTACCTTTTCTACAAAGTGAGGTGACTTGAATTTCTCACACTGGGCATTCCGATTCTTCACACAGAATATCATCAGCTTCACCATTCCAAAGTATGCTGGAATCTCCAGATAACTGTACAGGTTTACACAGGTCATAGACAATGCCTGTTGCCCTTACAATTTCAGCTTTCCTATCTTCCTACAGCTTGCTCTTTACACTTGCTGTTCTATGACTCATGCCAAAATTCAGGAAGAATCACAAAGAAGTAGAAAGGATTTGAGAGCAAGATTATGAAGAGTGTTGTAAAATGGGAACTACAAGGCTTGGCCAGGCTACTGAACTCATGAGCCAGCTGTAGACACCTGCACAAGATCCAAACAAATGTCTGAAATAGATGGGGTAATGTTCCCTAGATCCCACACCTTACCAGGGAGCTAAATGGACTTGACAGCTCTTGGGGCAACAAGAATCCTTCTTTGTTGGTTGTAAACAATGGTAGATACATACTTTAGTGCATGGCCCCACAGCCATACACATAGAGGAAACACTGACTAGACTTGGTAGGTTACCAAAATTAAAGAGGATCTGAAGTTGGAAAGGGATTATGTTCTGGAGGCAGAGGAGTCAGAGAAGAATAACAAAGGAGCTTCATTGTATACATATATGAAGTTCTGACAAATAAGGAAAAAATAATATGAGAAAAAAGTTGTAGTAAAGAATCTCTTCAGCTAATATAATAAACAGAAACAAAGCATGGAAGATACACCAGAGAAAAGACACAAAATATTATAGAGATAAAAGGCACCCTCTGTATCTTTACATATAAAAGTATTAAGATATCTTTAGCAAAGCCATTGTATATGTACTGTTGTCAAACTAATAATCCCCATAGTTTATAAAAAAACAACATGATCTGATACTGTCAACTTGTTCATTGGTTAAAAGCAACTAAAACATTCCTATTATATATACGTATGGTATGTGTATCTATGTATACATGAGTGCAGGTGCCCTCAAGGTTCAGATACCCTGAAGATGAAGGTGAACCACCCCACATGGGTTCTTGGAAGGCAACTTGAGTCCTCGGCAGGAGCAGTCTATGCTCTTAACCACTGAGCTATGGCACATGCCCTGCTTAGATATTTTTCAATTAACATTACCAGAAAAACAACTGTACATATTCAAATGGTGGCCTATTAAACCATATCATGAAACGTGCTCCAAAGAAGGCTCTCTTCCTAAAATAAATCACATATGAAAGGTCTACCATCACGTTTAATTTGCAACAACAAAATGCAGTCTTAGGACTCTTAATAAAGAAAATGATTATAAGCATAACCATTTAAAAGTATTTTCAAATAAGTTTTTTAAAAAGCAATTTGCTCCACTAACAATAAGGGTCAAAAAATGAAATTCAAGCAAAGATCTTACACGCTGATACTATGGAATGACACTCATGGGATAAGATCACATGAGAGAAAGATAAGACTAAAAGCAACTCAGCAAAGTGATGACTAGTCACAGCTCACAACGTCCTATTGCGATTGGAGATAATATGAATTGATTTACCATCAAACTGTACTTGCTTACTTACTTCCAAGGGTCAATTCTATATTCTCTGATGTGAGGTACCAGACTGTGAAAGTTAGAGCAAATGCCCACTGAGCTTCAGTATACATTACATCCCCATTGCAGAAGAACTAAGTCCATAAAAGAAAAAAATCAGATCACATGTGGGAGAAATTTTAACAGTGCTATTTTTGTAAGCTAAAATAAAATTGTAATACAAAATATTTAATAATTTTAGGATAATTAATATATGACAAATTTGCAAGGAGTTTAAAATAATACATCCATGGACTAGAGAAATGGCTCAATACGTAAAGTGTCTGCCATGCAGTGCAGGATCCATGTCTGATGCCCAGCCCCCACATAAAATCCGGGATAATAGGCCTGTGATCCAGGACTGAGGTAACAGAGTCAGAGTCTTAACTACTGCTCAGCCAGTAGTGTTGAACTGCTGAGCACCAGGTTCCATAACAGATCCTATCTCAAAAAATAAGGTGGAAAGCAACTGAGGTACTTTACCCACCATTGATCTCGAGCCTACACACACACACACACACACACACACACACACACACACACACACACACACACACATACATACACACACACAGGCATAGGAAGCAGTGTTGGAGGCATTCTGATGTCCAAGGGAAAAGTAAAGAATAGCTGAGATGAAGGCAACAGCAAACCACCTTGTGGTGATAATAAGTTCAGACAGTCAGGACTGTCAAATATTCTGCTTAACCTCTGGGTTCTGAAACTTGTGCACCCTCAATGCTGAAAGCCTGAAGCTTGTTCTGTTCCATGAAAGATTTTCCAGTTGGTTCAATGTCACCATAGATGGATGTTAATGGACACCAAAGAGACCTCATCTACCTCCTATGAACTACAGCAGCAGTGTAAAGGGTGAACCAGAAGCACAAAAAAAGACAAAGTAGACAAGCTTGGTGCAGGACTCGAGGCACCTGGGAGCTAGCTAGGATGTACAGAGACAGAGGAGTAGCTGCAATGCTAACAGAAGGCAGAAAAAGTCAGCATTCAGCTGACCTCTGGGGTGGGGAGAAACTCTTACGGTTAAGGAATCTAAGCCCTCTACCTTTCTATAATTTCAGGAAGATTGAGGCTTTTATGTGGAGTCTCATTTAAAGAAAGAGAGGACAAGACCAGGCGGCAGAAATACATAGAGACGGCTAACGGGCCCCAGACTGATAGCTGGGAAGCCAGCATGGGACTGACTCAGACACCCCTGAATATGAGTCTCAGCCAGAAGGACTGAGCAATCTAAGGGACCTCAGACAGTGGAGCCAGGATGTATCTATCCCTGGTGCACAAAAGGACCTTGTGAACACATCCCCCATGGAGGGATAACTGCCTTAACCTAGAGACAGGAGAGAAGCCCTAGTCCCTACTTCACAGGACCTGTCAGATCTACATGACCCCAACTGGATGGCATAGCCCTACATGTGGAATTGGGGTGGGGGGATGGGAAGGGAGGGTGATTAGGGTGCATGTGAGAGGGCAGAGAGGGTAAAAGGGAGGGAAGGAGGGAGGGAGGGGGAACTGGGAACGACATGTAAAATAATAAATTAAAAAAAAAAATGCTCTGACTCAAAAATTTAAGTTCAAGGACAAGTTACTGGGGAAAAGGATTTCTATTTTTGTTTCCACAGAAAATCAAAATCTGGATTCCTTCCAGACTAATGTATTTTGATCAAGCCAGACCACCTGAAACAGAATACCAGGTGATCCAACATTCAAAACATCTGGACAAAGCAGTCTTGCAGACTACAGCCAGGATTTCTGCATCTTTTTAGAATCCCCCATGACAGCGCCCCTTACCAGCAGGAAGTAGTTTGGAAAGAACGACGTCCAAATTCCCAAATATTGTCTATAAATGTTTGTTTTCATTTAAATGGACTTGGTTATAATAAATAAATAAACAAACAAACAAACAAACAAAAAAGAAAAAAAGAAAGGAAGTCCAAGAAGTATGAACAAGTGGAAAAAAGGGTGGTAGCTTTACACCAAGTCATGGAAACTCAAGGAGCACTTAATATTCAGTCACAGGTTGTTTTGAGAATAATGTTTAGGGCTGAGGAGATGGCTCAGTGGTTAAAAGCACTTACTGTTCTTCAGAAGGCCCTGAGTTCAATTCCCAGCACCCACATAGCAGCTCACAACTGCCTGATGCCCTCCTCTGGTGTGCAGATGTATAGGCAGGCCATGTACCCATAAACAAAACACACATAAAGAATCACGTTTTAAATACATAGTTCAGTTATGATAAAACATGGTCAGCATTTGGAGCAGCCTCTACCAGAATCGTGTACAAGCAATGAGAGATGCTGAGTAACCAGCCACTCTTTTGCTCTGTTTTTCTTTGGCGGGGGGGTAGTTGTGGCTGACTATCACATTGGCCTAGAGCTCACTGTGTGGCACAGCCAGGTTTTATACTCCAAAGTAACTCAACCTGGGATTGCAGGGGCAAGTCATGAGATTGTTATTTTTTTCAGTATGTCTAAAATATTTTTAAATAAGAATAATACCTGGAGGAGTAAAATCCATGTTCATTGTCCAAAATGAGAAAAATATAAAAATCCTGTCTCAATCACACATGTAAATTAAAGACAAGATAAGACTTAAAAGAAAGTATACTCAAGAGCTTTAGCAGTTTTTGTGTTTTTTCTTTCCCAAGAAAATATTCAACTGCCTTTGGATGTCATAAGTTCAGGGACAAATAAGATGAACTCACAAAGTCACTATGAGAGATACTCACCCCGTGTTGATTGAAATGATTTCGATAAGGGGATTCTTCCTGATCTTTGGCAAATCCAGTCTTGCTCCCCCCAAACGTTTCCCATTGTCTTTCTTCTGGCCCAGGAGCCTCACTGAGTGACCTTCAAATCAAGCACAAGACACACATTAGCACTACACACAAATACACTGTCACTTATCATTTTCAATAAATATGTTGAGGATTGTATTTGTTTGGTTTTTTGTTGTTGTTTGTTTTGTTTATTTGTTTTTTCTTACAGGAGACCAGGAGAAAAAACTTCCTAAAGCACCAGGGAGCCTTTGATCATAAGAAAGTCTGGGGGAGGGGGGGGAACGACCCCCTCTGTGTTTAAGGACTGACTATACTTGCCAACTTTTGCTCACAGTATGTGGACATTTACACAGAACATTTGAGAAAGGTTCAGTGTCCCTAAAATAATCTCCTGAGGGTGAACACTCTATACACTCTACACTGATCAATACTATAACGAAACAGCAAGGGCTTAGATATTAGGCCTCCCTGCTGGTTGCTGACACTATTAAGACATGGATGATAACATGACTAATGAAACAGCTCTGAACATTTACTTACCTATGCTGTTATTTTCTAGGCACCGGCTACTCTCCTCTTTCCCTCCCTCCTCATACCTTCATACACACCCACCAAGCACACACACACAGACTACAATAGCCATTAAAATTTCTTCAGTATTGAAAACTTTAAAGTAATTTCAGACATGTAGAAAACACAAAGGAAAGAACATGCATAACCCCTCAGATTGTAGTTACAATTGTATCATATAGTGTTTTCTCTTTGCAATGGGACATGCTGTATTTATGAGTGCACAATGTGATATACTCTATAAAACCATCCATCTTGGCTGTGAACAGCAATGATTTCAAAAACATTTCTACTGTCATATATTGTTTTTATAATTTATCAATGAATATACTACAGCCTATAAAATCTGTTCACTGTGAAAACAAAACTGAATGGTTTTAAATAAATACCTACAGTTTTGAGATCATAGCAACAACCCAGTTTGGAAATATTTCCATTAAAACTGGAAACTCCTTTGAATTTTAGTTTGGCCCATCTCTGATGTCATGCCAGAAGATAGACATTTGCTGCATTTCAAATACCTATTACAGTAATACTTCTAAGAACATCTGCACATAAAACTTTCTACACCCACACTTTCATCTTTCTTAGAGTCCTAATATAGAAATTGCTGAGTCATTTAGTGAATTCATATTTTACTGTCTTAAAAATAACTTCTTTGCTAAGAAATGGTCATTATATATTTCATCAGACATACAACTACTAACATAAAATTACGACATATTTTCTCTCATTCTACACATTATATTTTAACATTCATGAGGGTATCTTTTGGGGAAAAAAACTGTTAGTTCAATAAACTTCAAGTTCTCAACCATTACCTTCATGGCTCATGTTTGTGTTGCTATTACTAAGATCTCATTATCTTTCCTTGGGTACCTAACATAAAATTACTAAGTATTTTCTCTCATTCTACACATTATATTTTAGCTTTCATGATGGTGTCTTTTGAGAAATAAAACCTGTTAGTTTAATAAACTTCAAGTTCTCAACTATTACCTTCATGGCTCATGTTTTTGGTGCTATTAATAAGATCTCATTATCTTTCCTGGGGTACAAAGGTATTTCTTCCTTTTTGTTTCTATTCTATTGTTCAACCTCTTAAAACTGCTTTAGGAATATACTGTTACTTATTCTGTAGTGAGGGCCTATATTCTCACACCAAAACTCAGTGGTCTCATTGCTATTTCTTTGACATATTTGTCCACATGATATTCTTGTCACACATATTAATGTAAATAGTTATGAAACACCAAAAGGGCAATGCTATAAATATGATTTTAAACAAGAACACATATTATTTATAGCATAGTTTATATTTACCTACTAAAACCTATTTCTGACTTTTTATTACTCCTTGAAATTCAACTTTTCTTTTATTCTTGACCAACACTTATTTATTGATTTTTATATAGTAACTCATTTAGCAAAAAAGCAATATAAGCAATATTCCTTGCTTATCTGAAAACACTTTGTTTTTTGTTTTGTTTTGTTTTTTTTATTTTTTTTTTTTTGTTGTTGTTGTTAAATTTTTTGCTTCAGTTGTAAAGGATAGTTTTACTGGATATAAAACTGCTGCTGTCTGCATGCTAGATCAATTGTTTGTGGGGTTTACTATTCATGATTAGATGCCAACTATTAATCTTATAATTGCAAAGAACATAGTAAGTCATTGATTCTCTTATGCTTCCCATATCTCAATTTGTGGATTTTTACAGTAGAATATATAGGACTGACTAAGCTCTTTGGATTCATAAAGGAATATTCATCTAGAACAATTTTATTTTTTTTTTCAAATTTTTTCTGGATTTTTTGTTTTTGTTTTTTGTTTTATATTTCCTTCTCCAGGGTTCATATAATATAATTTCTTTTTATTTATTTATTTATGTTTGTTTTTTATTTTCTATCTATTCTTCTGCAACTCGCACAATACATTTATTACTGTATGACAGACACGTGTACATCAGGTCCCTAAAGCAGTCTTACACAGGGTTCTACCAAGACACAGAAATGATGCACACAGAGGTAAAATATGACATATTGAGGAAACACGATTACTTGATTATAGAGACTAAACAATCCCACAGGCATCCAGCTGATCATACTGACACTCCTAACTGGCAATAAAGTTAAAAATAAAAAAATCAGAGACCATAGTCAAAGTTTAGCTAACTGGAATTATCCATAGAAATGATAGAGAACCCAGGGAGCCAGATAGAGAGATGCACAGGGAGTAGCAGGGAGGTATTTAGAGATTCACAGGCTATTCAATCTTGGAAATATGTAGAATACAGTCAGCCAATCATCCCTTTTGCCAATGTTTGTATTGATCAGGTTTTTATCGAAATCTCTGACTCCTAAGCTTCTAATAATAATAAAAGATTTAGATAAAGGCATAATCTGGTACCCAGTGTGGGACATTATTAAATTACACAAAGACAGCAAGGCTGTTACCTCTCCACCATGATTGCAACCTGCTTTCCCCCTCCCTCAATCCCTCCCAGTGAGTCCCAGGCTTTTCCCCATTGCAGTCTCTATATAGCAGCCTCAAGTTGCTACTCACCCCCTGGCCCAAAATGCTCCAGATGAATGGACCCAAAACACAATCAGATTCGGCCAACCACCACCTACCAGCTCTGTCATTCAGGTTGGCCAATTCCCACTCATACCATGAAGCATTAGCCCTGCTTTGCACAAGCAGCTTCCCTTAGCCTGCCCATGAGCCACCTGCTGTGCAGAACAGCCAGAGCCAGCCACACACCACCACCAAGCACACTCACAGCTGAGCTCTGCTTAGTACTCAGGCTGCTATCCCAGCACAGCTCCCCCTAGGCTGTCATTGTCAACAGATCTGGTGGAATACATGGGAAATCTTAAGAAAAAAAATTAGGCTTTATTTAAAACTAGTCTTTCCAATGTTAAGAATGAGGAACAATATTACAGTGAAGGGAGTTAGGGCTTTGTATAGCTGACAATGTATGTTTGAAAATGGCAAATTAAATGTGGGGGATAATAAACTTAGCTGGGATTGTCATAATGCTGACTATAAGTATTATCAGTTTGATAATTCATATTTTATCCTTTAAACAGGTTTGGATATCAGTGCTAAATATAAAAATTTTACTGATAAGATATAAGCCTCAGAGAGACCCACTAATGAAACTAAGAAAAATATTCATGCACAGACAAAGGAATTTAGAGAAGAACTAACAACACCATTGCAAGTCAACACTGAAGAGGAAGTGGCACCAGGCTATTGGGAGCCTGCCTTAGTTATCCAGTTACCATACAATAACCAACAGACGACTGGGACCCCCAATGTTAGGCAGAAGTTAAGTGGGCTTCTGTAGAAGTTCTATATTTGAACATATTTTAAAAAGGAGCCATTTCATGAGATATGATATCTTTCTAGAGTCTCCGTTGGGTTGAAGATTAGATACTTAGAGTTACGGTGTTTCTTGTTATCAAATTCAGAAAGAAACTCACAGAAGAGGTATGAATTTATAAACTTGAAGGACATTTAACAGCTTAAGTTATTTGTCTAAGAAAATGTTTTGAAGAATAAAAAGAGTTTTGTGTTGGTAATACAAGTTAGGTTAGAAAGGGAATTATGTACTTAAAAACATAGGGTATGTAATGGTGTATTTTCTCTGATTTTGCCAAATACAAATGGATTGGACATTGTGAATATAATTCTTACTTGGTAACTGTTCTTCCTGTATATGGTTTTACTGTGTTAAGTGATGCATCCAAGTTTTTTTTTTTAAGAACACAAACAAAACATCACAAAAGTTAAGTTTAAAACTTTCCCTTTATATTTAGACAATACCTGACTATTGTTCTTATGGTATACAGTATTACTGTTAAGAGTTAAAACTGCTCCTTTTTATTTAGACAAAAGGGGAGAAATGTTACTGGAGATTAGCTTGCCCTGTAAAGTTAAACCTTGAGTCAGAAGACGGAGTCAATGCTTAACTGACCAGAATTATCCATAGAGATGCTGGAGGACCCAGGGAGCTGGATAGAGAGATGCACAGAAAGTAGGAGGAAGGGCTTTAGAGATTCCTGGGCTTTTTGCTATGGGAAATGTAAGAGAGTAAGGTCAGCTGATCACTCCTCTGCTGCTTTTTGGATTCATCAGGTGTTCATCCCAATTTCTAACTCCAGAGTTTTTGTTAATAATAGAATAAGTTAGATGAACACACCAGTCAATAGCATAACTCAGTTCACATCAAAAGGCTTCATGGACAAGAAAACTGACAGTGTACTTATCATGCTGAAACCAAATGCCAAGAGCCCAGTAGGCAGATGACAGAAGTGTCAGAGTTCAAAAGCCAGCAAACATGGACTTGCAATGTCCAAGAACTGAGGATAAAGATAACTCAGATCTTGTAAACACATAGTGAAACACTGGCATTCCTATAACTTTCTTGGGTAATGTAAGTCCTCTGACAAAGGAGCACCAGAATTAAAGAGAAGGCCATTTAGAGTAAATGATAC